CTTTTTAATCGCGATAAAATGTGCAGACTTAGTTAAACGGTCCACAATAACCCATATTGCATCATTTCCTTTTGGTGTCCTTGGCAACCCAACTACAAAATCCATCGTCACCAAGTCCCATTTCCACTGAGGTATCGATAGTGACTGTAGTTTTCCTGCAGGTACTTGGTGCTCGGCTTTAACTAGCTGACACGTTAGACAATGAGTAACAAACTTTGCAATATCCTTTTTCATGCCATGCCAAAGAAAGTACTGCTTCAAATTCCGATACATCTTTGTAGTACCCGGATGTATAGAATATCGCGTATTATGCACCTCTTTTCAATAACTCTTTCCTCAATTCTTCATCTTTAGGCACATATGCACGACCTCTCAATAGTATCAACCCATCATTTGAAGTGGAATACCCTGCCCTTGTAAAATCTTCGGGCTTTTCCATCAATTCTTTCGTTTTTTCATCTGTTTCTTGAGCCATCTTCACCTTTTTCAACCAACTATCCCATTTTATAGCACTAGTTTCCAATTCGTCTTGATTCTCCTGAGCTGATATCTGCATTAAACTCAATTGAGTTGTTAGATCACTTGTCAATCTCAAAGTAGATAACTCAACTTTCTTTCTACTCAAGGCATCTGCAACCACATTAGCTTTGCCGGGATGATAGGTAATATCCACATCATAATCTGCCACTAATTCCATCCACCTGCGTTGTCTCAAATTTAGTTCCTTTTGAGAGAACACATACTTGAGACTTTTATGGTCAGTGTAAACTTGAACTTTTTCCCCGTACAAGTAAGATCTCCAAATCTTCAATGCAAAAATCACAGCTACAAGTTCTAAATCGTGAGTAGGATAGTTTTCTTCATGTTTTCGAAGTTGGCGTGATGCATACGCAATAACGCGGTCTTCTTGCATCAACACGCATCCTAACCCTTGGTGAGAGGCATCACTATACACCACAAACTGTTTTCCGGGCTTTGGTAATGCCAAAATAGGAGCTGATGTCAATCGCTTCTTCAACTCTTCAAAACTTGTCTCGCATTTTTCGTCCCATTCAAACTTCACACCCTTTCCCGTCAATCTCGTCAATGGCTTAGATAGGTTGGCAAAACCCTTTACAAACTTTCTGTAATACCCAGCCAACCCGAGGAAGCTTCGAATCTCTGTAGCATTAGACGGTCTCACCCAATCAACTATAGTCGACACTTTGGATGGATCTACTTTCACTCCTTCCGCAGATACCACATGCCCCAAAAATCCTACCTCGTGCATCCAAAAGTCACACTTACTCAGCTTTGCATATAACTTTTCTCTCCTTAAGCGTTCCAACATCTTCTCCAAATGTATCATATGATCCTCACGAGATTTGGAATACACAAGGATGTCATCAATGAAGATGATAACAAACTCGTCCAAATAATCCCTGAATGTTGTGTTCATCAACTCCATAAAAACTGCAGGTGCATTGGTAAGTCCAAACGGCATGACAACAAATTCAAAGTGTCCATACCTTGTTCTGAAAGCAGTTTTCTTTATATCATCATCTAGAACACGTATCTGGTGGTAACCTGATCGTAAATCAATCTTCGAAAACCAACTAGCACCTTGAAGTTGGTCCAATAGCTCATCAATTCTTGGAAGTGGATATTTGTTCTTTATTGTTACCTGATTCAATCCTCGATAATCGATGCATAATCTCATACTCCCATCTTTCTTCTTAACAAATAGTACAGGAGCACCCCAAGGAGAAGTACTAGGTCTTATAAAACCTTTTCCAATCAACTCCACCAATTGCTTCTTTAACTCAGCCATTTCTGAAGC